GGTTCATTGGTAGTTTGTCGAGTTGGATCATTGGTAATTGGCGAGTTGGTTCATTGATAGTTTGTGAGTTGGATCATTGGTGATTGGCGAGTTGGTTCATTGGTAGTTTGTGAGTTGGTTCATTGGTAGTTTGTGAGTTGGTTCATTGGTAGTTTGTGAGTTGGTTCATTGGTAGTTTGTGAGTTGGTTTATTGCACTTTTGGTAATTGGAGAGTTGGTTCATTGATAGTTTGTGAGTTGGATCATTGGTGATTGGCGAGTTGGTTCATTGATAGTTTGTGAGTTGGTTTATTGCACTTTTGGTAATTGGAGAGTTGGTTCATTGATAGTTTGTGAGTTGGATCATTGGTAATTGGCGAGTTGGTTCATTGATAGTTTGTGAGTTGGATCATTGGTGATTGGCGAGTTGGTTCATTGGTAGTTTGTGAGTTGGTTCATTGGTAGTTTGTGAGTTGGTTTATTGCACTTTTGGTAATTGGAGAGTTGGTTCATTGATAGTTTGTGAGTTGGATCATTGGTGATTGGCGAGTTGGTTTATTGGTAGTTTGTGAGTTGGTTCATTGGTAGTTTGTGAGTTGGTTCATTGGTAGTTTGTGAGTTGGTTAATTGGTAGTTTGGGAGTTGGTCGATTGGGAGTTTGTGAGTTGGTTGATTGGTAGTTTGTGAGTTGGGTTCTTTGGTAATTGGCAAGTTGGTTCATTGGTAGTTTGTAAGTTGGTTTATTGCATTTTTGGTTCCTTGGTAGTTTGTGAGTTGGTTCATTGATAGTTTGTGAGTTGGTTAATTGGTAGTTTGTGAGTTGGTTAATTGGTAGTTTGTGAGTTGGTTCATTGGTAGTTTGTGAGTTGGTTCATTGATACATATCATCAGTAATTGTTGACAATCTACCATATAAGTTTGTGCCATTATCTGAGGCATGTTTATTTTTAAACGTAAAATATGTAAAAGTTAAAAAGGTAAAAAGACCTGTACCTGTAATTTTATTACCTGACTGTTGTTGTCTTAACGCAGACACTAATGCAGGATCGATATCACATTGACGCCCAGCAGCAGATGCCATCTCATTCACAATCTCAGTTTCTTTACCGACCTGCACATGCTCACAAAAATCCACAATGGCGCTGTGCAGGAATGGGATACGATGACTCAGCACCTACAAACAATCAAATCACGGCTGAACTAAGTTGGCTGATTTAACTAAATATAGTGACATATTGTAGCATATTTTATTCCCTGCAGGAAATGGCACTGCATAGAAAAAACAGTCAAACTGGACTGAATTTGCAAATCAATACTGACAATTTAGCTGAAAAAGGTCATAATTATGAGATCCCAATTAGATACATAATTAATCATAGTTTACCCCGGTATATTATAATATGAGACTTACATCACTGAGTGACTCCTGTGCTAGTGATCTAAATGCCAACAATACACCAACAATTGTCATACGTTGCAATACATTTTCCACATCTGAAATTGAATCATTAAAACATTAAAATAAAAATGTTATGACTTGAACTTGAATGGAGGCAGGCATTGATGACAATTGTCTTAATGCCCGATTTGCCATGGTGCCTTTCAGAAAATATTGATTTTCCCTAGTATTGGATGCCTTCGGAATTCCAAAATTTAAACCCTGGAATATCCTTAGCTATGTTTAAAATTAGGTGATGTTTTTATCACACAAGTCATGATAAAGTTTGCATTTTAGAATTAGTAAAAGTGAACTGTGAAAAGATGTGTACAGTTGAATTCTACTTACTTCGAAGTCTTCTAAAGAGATCAGACATTTCTTCAGGTTTATCAAAGTTGGTTCTCAAAGCCGATAAAACATCTTTATTAAGAACTACCAATTTCTATATATGCAAATCAAATACACCATTTCTTTTACTGCCACGTTTATAACTTTACACAAAAAATGAAACATGGGTATGCAACTTCCACAACAGCATTCAGTGATATCAGTGTTTATCATAATTACAAGATTCTTAAAGTATATAATTGATGTAATCATAGAAGCAGTACATAAAAGAGATCAAATATGTGTAAATGATAAAAACATTTTCATTTATTGCTTTAATTTCTAATAATTTATTTTGAATTCCAAGAAAATCTCAAGACAGACTTGTAATAACCTTATTATTATACATCTTTTCGTTGTTATTATTATTAGAGGATGCTTACACGCGTAATCATTTCATATTTGGAATTCGCATTTCCTTATATGATAAAATTAAAATACCGCAAAATTATGACATGCTGTAACTTACAGTGACAGATGTATAATAATATATAATATAACTGGGTCACCCCCTGTGATTAACCATAATACACACAATACCTTAAGTTCTGCTACTTGACTTGAAATATGCCACATCAGACTCTCATTCAAAAATTTCATACCATAGGGACCAAGTAATTCTGCTAAAGCTCTCATTTCTGGAATAAACATAGCAATAAATACCAGTCAACAGCAATGCCCATCTATTTTGGCATCAACCTGTTCCACAAGTCCTGCTGGTAGCTAGCTATCAGTTTGCCTTAGCCACGCCTTCCATAACCAGTCCTGTTGTAGCTAACAATCTGTTACGATTGCCCATTATTGAGTCACTGTGTTCTCATTGGTTCCACATGCAACCCTGTTATCAGATGATAACTGGGCAGTGATTTAGGTTGATGAAGGAACGCATTATGCAAAGTTTATCCCTTAAACAACAAACCCACTATGATTCTTTCATTTTATAAAAAATTCTGAGTGTGTTTTCTCCTAAAATATTTGCTCAAGAATTTTTATGTGTAACTGAATCACAACGACATACTAACTACACTGTGGATTTCTTCTTTCCTCAAGCTATCAGTGTAGTACTATGTAAATATGTATAATATTCAAATTTTTGACATTATGAATTCAGTACCTGTGATATCTGAGTACTCTTCAGCATTTATACCCATGTTTCCCTCATTGGACAGACTTACAAACGCTTTATGGTTTGGTGAGAAACATATGTTGCCAGCACTCACTCGTCTTAACAGAACTTCCAAATACCTGCAAAGTGAAAATAATGCACAATATAATTACAATACATAGAATATTCTGATGCATAAAATTAGAGGTTCTTGGTCAGACAAAAATAACCTCCAGCACAATGCAAAAGCAGATCCACTCCCAGATTCAGTAAATTCAGAAATCTAGTCTTACCAGTTTGTGTAAATATGAGTGACAGTTTTATCTCCGTGACTATCCAATGGCTGGGTTTGTTGTAATAGGACATTGTTAAAAACCCTGGTGATATCGATATGAACTGAAACAAATGAACAAAAATGTTACATGACAGTACCTGGTGGCATTTCCCAACAGATTGAAATTACATGATGAGCTTTTGATATAGAAAACAAATACATTCTGAATTTGGAAAATTACATAACACAAGTATTGAGTAGTATACGCAAGTTCATAACAAAATAATATGTTACATACTCTTAGTTCATAGAATTACATAATGTAATCGTCAGGCTTAGCATACTCACCATAGTTTTCAATGGTCTGTAATACACCCATGTAAGTACGCACACTAGCCAGTAATTCAGAAGGCTTGGCAATCTCATTGCTTTCAGGATTATGCATCATCATACCAACAACAGCCCTGCAAAAATAAATAAAATTATTATCAATAATAATTTGAATAATGCCGTATTTGGGCTAACATTCTTGAATAATTTGCTACTGTAATTGCAGAATTCAGTCTCTAGTAAATCACCCACAACTATATTTTCTTTTAATTCTGTTAATGGTTTTGTCTGTAATGAAATATAAATAGAAAATTTACTTATTATGAAATAATATGAAAAAAAGCCTCACAAAATGGTTTGTAGTTTTAGTGCCTATACTTACTTGTTAAATCTGGCCTCTAGATGCGCAATGAGATACTCTCTTGGTGCAAATATGTGCTCCCATATTTGTATAGATCCTGTGTAATTGATTGCATAACATAGCTCTGTCAACTCCATGTGGTATTTATCCATTCTAAAAACACAAGATGAAAATCATTCATAAAATATTTTAAAGTACAGCAAGATGGGTTTGAAGCCGACATAGTCATGTATGTTGACCATTAACAACAAACAAATCATTCATACTGCCTTCAGTTTAAGAAAAGAGAAATTTCCAGAATAAGGTTTTAATCATCGTGAGCCATGTTAGTTTCATTCTACCACTTCAGCCAATACCAGCATATTTCAGGTGATAAATTGTCTGCACTAAAATGGAATCATTTTTCATAACTTGTCATGGTTTATATTATTATTTACTAACGGGGTAAACTCTTCTCTTGTTTTGCGTTTACTCTCCTCTCCAGGTTTCTCTAAAGGAGGCAGATTTCTGTTTCTTGCATTGCCTTTCTTCTTCTGGGCAGACAGAATTATAGGAACACAGTTTTGTGGCAGTAACTACAGAGTAAAATCAAAGAAAGCTTAGAAAGAACTCCCGTGTGCTGAGAAGTATTGAAGACACATTAAAAATTAATTCAAAATTACTTGTACATGAGATATTGATAGAAAAGCTGAAAACTAATTATGTACATCAGGTAACTAATATGAACAGAACAGAACAAAAAAATTATGAATTATTATGCTAATTAGAGAATTAATATGAACAAATTTTAACCCAAAATTAATCAGGCCTGTCTATTGTCCTAGAGCATTTATGTACCAAATTTTATTCAAATGTGATGATCAGTAATTGAGATATCAGTGTTAATTAATTATGTTAATTAGGAGATTAATAAGCATAAATATTTACCAAAAACTAATTGGGTTTCTGCATAGTTCTCTTTAAAAGTTTCATTAAAATCCAATTTGTGGTTCTTTATATATCAGTGGAACATTATGCAAATTAGGTAATTAATATCCAATTAAAACTAATTAGGTCTCTGCATAATCCTAGAAGATCTATGTAGCAAGTCTCATTGAAATATGATGATTACTACTTGATATATCA